CGTTTTCAATGTTTTATAGGCATAGTCCCTTGTAGTGAAATGTGCCGTTAAAGTTTTAGTTCGTTCAATAAAAGATGTTTAAAGATTAATGGGTAATGGTGTAGGCCTAATCAACAGTTCATTAATACTATACAGTTTGTAAACAGTCACGTGATCACGGCTAGCGTTGATGTGGACAGATGATCTGCTGAAATGTTTACTTTTTTTTTTCTCTTACCATTCTACCAAGTTTTTTTGTGGGAGATTTTTAAATTTGTGAGTTCATTTTGTGCCAGGACAATGTATTAAGCCTACGTGTGTTATAAATATTATGGGCGTTTGTCATTCATTCACGATGAAAGTTAAGCTTTTCCGCTTTTATACAAAAATTAGAAAACATTTCATCCTGTGTGAAGTGACAGTTGTTTCTAGTGAGTTCAACTCCGTTTACCGTGTCAGGGGTGGCTGAGTTGAAAACACCTCGTGATATTTTGCACGAACAAGTCTTTTGTGCTGTTGTTGATTAAAAACTAGGTCAAAACATGACGGTAAGGTTAGGGTATACAATGGGGGGGGGGGGGGTAAATAAGCATGGATTAACTTGACGAGTAATGCAGAAATTAAAAACTAGACTCATCATTGTGGAAACCGTGCGAATTTGCGAGACAACGGGTCTTGGTTGACGTGGGTAAATGTTAAATCTATTTTTACATCCTCTCCCCCGTGACAGTTTAGGTAAGGAGGTCACTGAACTTGTAACCGTCTACCCGGCCCTCTCTCGCCCGCCTCCTCAAACACAGACCCATTATACTACACGGTGTGTCCGTAGGGTGGTGCGGCGCTATTTGGTCAAATTAACGTTCCTTACATTCCTATAGAGCGAGAGTTACCCCGCTTGCCTGACTGGGGCGCCTGTTGTGGTGGGCCAGTGTGTGCAGGGATATCAGTTTATCTCCGTCCACTTGATGCAGGGCTGGCTGGCGCGGACCCAAATGATGGAAAGTACATGGTCGCTCGTTTGGTATCCAAACAATAGCTGGATGGTGGTAGATTGAGGTCGACGACTGGAAGCTCGTATGTAGGAGCTAACTAGTCTACTAGCCGTTCTTGTTCTTGCCCTATTCGCACGATAAGTTTTTCCTTATTTGAATATCGATTTGTAGCCCGTAGCTGACCAACTGTTGACCCGCTCAGTCTATAGTCGAGAAACAGATGAATAGATGACCCACACAACACGAGAAGACTAATAGATGACCCAGGTAACCCTAATTGACCAACAGATGACCCACTCACCCCAGTTGACCAACAGATGACCCACACAACACGAGCAGATTAATAGGTGACCCACGTAAGCCTAATTGACCAACAGATGACCCACACACCCCAGTTGACCAACAGATGACCCACGCACCCCAGTTGACCAACCAGTGACCCACGCACCCCAGTTGACCAACAGATGACCCACACACCCCAGTTGACCAACCAGTGACCCACGACCCCAGTTGACCAACCAGTGACCCACGCACCCCAGTTGACCAACCAGTGACCCACGACCCCAATTGACCAACCAGTGACCCACGACCCCAGTTGACCAACCAGTGACCCACGACCCCAGTTGATCAACCAGTGACCCAAGTAATCCGAGTTGACAAACAGGTGACCCACGTAACCCTAATTGACCAACAATGACCCACACACATCAGTTGACTAACATATGACTCACTCACCCCATTTGACCAACCAGTGACCCAAGTAACCCGAGTTGACCAACAAATGACCAACGTAAGCCGAATATATCAACACATGACACACACTCCCCAGTTGACCAATAGAGGACTCACGTAAACCTAATCGAACAACGGATGACCTTCCTAATAGTCCGTGGCCATAGTTTTCACCAAGTCTATCGTCCGCCTCCCCTCCCTACTCCCCCCTCCCACCTAACCATTTCCTATGGTTAACCCCATTCTGTCACCAAACGGATATCCTTCCATTGAAATTTTTAACATGCCTGTCGTCATATGTGGTGAATAATTTCTGGGCTCATTATTTTGGAATGATTTGAAAAGTCTCCATTCTCCTGTGGTTTTTTATTTTATTTCAACATCCACAATTGTAGTTATTTGGTGTCACCATCCTCCTATTGTAGTTATTTGGTGTCATCCCGCCTACTGTAGTCATTCGGTGTCACCCCCCCCCCCCCTGTATATTTCTGTCTTCACGCCTTCCCACAAGTCATATGGTGTCTTTATCGTTCCGCTCTAGTTGATGTTCTTCGAGTATGTTTTATAATGCTCCGCTTTTGTTGTTTACTTGTTGAAATATGGAATAGCTAGATCTACGCTCTGTAAAGACCTTAAGTAGCAATGTTACAGTGTTTTCTATGTTTAACAGCGAGGGGTGGGGGGGGGGGGGGGGAGGGCAACATACTGTAGGCCCACCGGTAGTTACAGGTACCTGTCTTAAATCAACAACACTGTACCTATTCCATAGAGCGTTAAACAATTCCCTGACAGTGTCACGCAGGGGTCAAGATGGTTGCATGGGTCAGTGTGTTGGCATTTGACCGTGGCTCAGGTTGTGTGGCTAAACATAGAGGTGAATTATGCTGGCGAGGTAGGCTGCACTCAATGTTAACGACTTGCTGGACGTGACGGAGGTTGTATGTGACATATGACATATGCTTCTGGATGTCATGAGGTTGGGACGTGACGTGGGTTCTGGGCGTGAGAGTTGGAGACGTGACATTGGGTCTATGCTGGGATGTGACATTTAACGACGTGACAGATTGAGACGTGACATGGGGTTGGACGTGGCAGTTCGAGACGTGACATGAGGTTTGGCGTGACAGATTGAGACGTGACATGGTGTTTGGACATGGCATGGGGTTTGGACGTGACAGATTGAAACGTAACATCTGCACGTGGACGGACGTAAGATTAGGCTTTCGCCTAACACCTGGTCGTAAAAGTGACGTAATGATTTATTGTATTGATACATGCCCTTGTTTACTGACTGATAGCTCTTGCAGTCTCAAACCTTCCTTAGTTCATTGTCGGCTGGTAATGTGTAGTGAGTCTAAAGTTGTTTTAAACTGTGTGTTGGAGTTTTATGGTGATTTTTTTTCATTCTGACCGTGTCGTAAACTCGTTTTCTCGCATTGACGTAATGGTCATTAATTGAACAACATATATTTAATTCGCCGATTGTGTTGTTCAGATCTCTCTTCGCTATGGTTATCGAGTCCTTGTTTTACTAAGTTTTTGATCTTAGTATGCCTAGCCAGGTGTTATCACTATGTCAATGAAGGATTCTTGAAAGTGTTATAATAATGTTCGATAGATCTTTGTGGATACTTGTGTATTCTTATTTCTGGTAGTTCTAGCAGTCTAAAAATTAGAGGTGTTTTTTTTTCTTCGAGGAACATCAATGTGCTTACTGTGACTTGTTTTATTTTCAGATGTAGATCTATGAGTAAGTGTAGAACGAATACATTTAGGTTAGCGTCAGTCGCTCACAGCAAATGATTGTATATGTAGAATGTTTACAGTATCAGACTTGTGGCCCGCGCGTTTCTTGAGTGTGGAGTATGACATTGCCGTGTCCAGATGTAGGTCAAAGGTCAAACATGCCAGGTTTGGTGGGACAGAACTGTACACAGCAAGTTCCGGTAGACGCGGAGAACATGCCCGCCAGTGATTCCCGTGACGTCATTGTCTTGCAGGGCGACGTCACAGCCATGGCTGACGTCACGTCCGGCCGTGGCAGGAGGCTCGTGATGGAGACCCCGGCCTATTCCACCGACTCTGAGGAGTTGGAGGATTGCTCGGAGACCTCCCTGGGGTCGGAGGACGCCTTGACGAGCAGCCCGGGGGATTCGTCCCTGCGACCCCAGGGGCTAGACGAGAATGACAACTGTGATAAAGAAAATATCAAATTATTGACTTCCATCCGTGCCAGTCTGGTGAACAATAAAACAGCGTCGCTGGAGAACAGCGACGGCTGGTTAAGGACTAACCACAGCCCGGGTTCGAAACACAGTGAGGATAACAAGCGGAACCTTATCGAGCTGCAGATGATTCATACGCTAAAGGAAAACGGCGTGAGGCCGCACGAGAACCGGGTGGGGTTCAAGGCCAAGCCGCGCGGCAAACAGTCCGCACCTGCCGAGACGAACCAGGGACAATCCTCTGCGGGCGAGGGCAGCGCCAACAACCAGAGGCAGCGGTCACTCGAGCCCGAGCCTGTTCCGGTCAAGGTGAAACACCTGCAGAGGTCAAGGTCATTTCCTCAGATCACCCAGCGCGTTTTGTTTACCCCCATCCGGCCTAGTCCAGAAGAATCCGGGTTGTTCCCCCCTGTCTGTGGTAAGACGTCCACAGAGTCGGCTCCTGCAGATGGCGCAGTAGGTGGGGTGGACGTGAACGCCGCCCGCCCCGCCAACGAGGGACGGAGAATCCCCTCCAAATCTCAACCAGCCAACCCTCCCGTGGCTCGTGTGAACCCACAAGCCAACCCCAACCCACAGACCAACCCCAACTCTCAGGCCAACCCCGCCCTCCAGCAGATGAAAACGCCCGTGTACCCTCAGCCCGTGTACCTCCCGCCCAGCGTCTACTGCCAGCAGACCGGCCTACCCGTCCTGTACATCCAAGGCGCCAGCTACGTCATCCAGTCAGACTGCTACCAGTCAGACTTCGGCGCCTCGTTGTTTGTTGTGGAACCCGGCCCCAAATCTATGCAGCCATCTCCGGCCTCCCACCCCAGCAGCGCGCCAAAACATTTTCGGGAAAACCCCAAGTACGATATCAAACCCCACCCCGACCCGGCGGCTCCAAACAAATCAAACAGTATTCACGACATCAACAGCTCAAAGCAAATCGAACCTGTTTATCCTAACCACTGTGATCCCTGCGCACACGACAGGCAGTCAGTCAATCCGCCAGTCCTGAGGCGCAAACACAAGCAGCCGCTGCTTCCCGACCCGATGATTCCCAAGTTCTCTGAGCTGGCGTCTATGGGCATGTCCCCCACCGCTTCACCCCAGCAGTACCCCCAGCCTACTCACCAGCAGGCTACCTTCTACTCACACCACGTGACCAGTAGTCAGGCTGTGTATCAGGTGAATGCGACAACGTCTTCTACGGCGTTTCTCCCGCAAGGGTCGACGCCCCCCCTCCGTGGCGTCGTCACACCCGACAGAAACCGCCAAAGGGGGTAGGGCGCCCCAGGAGGGTAAACCTGATAAAAGAAACGTTAGCGGACCCAGCGGGTCTGGCTCCGTGGGCTTTGTGACGGACCACACGGGGCTGGTCATATACGGACCCCAGCCGCCGTTGAACGAGACAGTGATGTCGCCCGGCAGCTCGGCCAAGCATCGGCCGATGGAAGGCGGGCCTCAGCCTTACATGGAGCCCGCCCACAGCGGGATCGTCTACGTCGATGTGGGGTCGGGCTCGTATGTGACCATCGACGCTTCCCAGCTGGAACCCTCGCCTTACACAGTGCCCTTTCAGGGATCATCAGGACCTTATCAGGGATCTTCAGGACCTTATCATGGGTCTACAGGACCTTATCATGGGTCTACAGGACCTTACCAGGGACCTACCGGACCTTACCAGGGGTCGGTAGGACCTTATCAGGGATCTTCAGGACCTTACCAGGGATCGTCAGGACCTTATCAGGGATCTTCAGGGCCTTATCAGGGATCTACAGGACCTTACCAAGGATCTTCGGGACCTTACCAAGGCTCAACAGGACCTTATGTGCTCACTGGAGAGAACGGCCAAGAGCTGCACACGGCCATTAACATGGACAACTGTGAGTGTTTTATACTTTCTCCCAAATCGCATTTGTAATACTAAAGTGTTTCGCTTGCTCTAACACCCCCCCCCCCCCCAACCAAACCCCCTCCCCAACCAAACCCCATCCCCATACATCGAGATAAAAATACCCCACTCGTTTGCTGCACTACCAACTCCACCTATACCTTAACCCTTTTCTAAAATACTTTTTGTTTTTCAGCATAGTAAACTCCAGGTTTGAACGTTTGAACCTTTACAATCGTTTACCTGTTTTAATTATCTCTCCCACGAGTAATGAAGTTTGTACTTGATTAGAAGCTTATATAGACAAGGCGGTAATTACTTGAGCTATTTTAACATGAGCATCCAAACGGGCAAAGGTTGGAGATAATTGAAAGGGAAGGCATACTATGGAGTTGCCTCCCTTTGGTCGATTACTCTCCCTTACAAAAAAAAAAAATTGGCGTAAAAAAAAAAAAGTTGCCATCGAAAGAGAACGGCGTCAAGATTGCAGAATGTCGCTTTATTTCGGGATTTTTTTTTTTAAATTTTTTTTTTTTTTTGTAACTTCTCAACTGTCTTTATCTTCGGGGAAATGCTTTAAAAATGGTCGGTAATTTAAAAGATTTAGATATTTTTGCTTTCAAGTAATGCAGCAGACACAAATGGGTGTTTACTGCAAGTCGTGGTGGCGCGGCCGCTGACATTCTCAGCATAGCTGAGCCGGCACTTTTCTGCTAGATGCTTTCAACAGGGTGGGACTAGGCTGTTTCAGTTGGGTTTTTTTTTATATTAAATTAAAATTTATCAGTTTGACACTCTGTGGGAACTACAACACCAAAAAAAAAGTTGCATTAAGATCCGACTGTCCTTGTTGTCTTTGTAACACTACTCCAGCCAGAGTTATCCACAGAATGCGGTTAACATGGGCATTGTAAGCGGGTGGCTTCCCTTGGTTGCCTCTCGTCCTAATCGAGACTCAGAGAAAAAAATATTTTTTAACGCGCGGGTAAGATTCGCATCGGGAGTTATCGTTCTTGAGGCCTAGGTTATGATAAACACAGCCGTCGGTCTATCATGTTTTTTAGCCTAAGTTGCCTGAGAGTTAAAAGAAAAAAACTCATATTTTTCAGTAAACTTTGAAAATTGTTTTGAAACATTTCTTCAATGAAAACCAAAACCATTTCGAAACTGGAGTGCGTTGGTTGTTATTTACGTTTTACTTGAATCACGTGGTCTGGAGCTGCGACCCTGTTATCGCAATCTCAAGGTCAAGATGATCGTCTGCTCTCATCACTTTTGGGTCGCTGCAGGCAGGATGCAAGAGATATGCCATTCCAAGCCCGTTAGCAAAACATCGCCTGCTAGATGGACGACCCCCCCCCCCCCGTCTCCTCCTTGACCGTTCTCCTCCTTGACCGTCTCCTCCTTGACCGTCTCCTCCTTGACCGTCTCCTCCTTGACCGTCTCCTCCTTGACCGTCTCCTCCTTGACCGTCCTGCTCCTTGACCGTCTCCTCCTTGACCGTTCTGCTCCTTGACCGTCTCCTCCTTGACCGTTCTCCTCCTTGACCATCTCCTCCTTGACCGTCTCCTCCTTGACCATCTCCTCCTTGACCGTCTCCTCCTTGACCGTCTCCTCCTTGACCGTCTCCACCTTGACCGTCTCCACCTTGACCGTCTCCTCCTTGACCGTCTCCTCCTTGACCGTCTGCTCCTTGACCGTCTCCTCCTTGACCGTCTCCTCCTTGACCGTTCTGCTTCAGGTCACTAGGACCATTGTATATCTTGTATGATTGTGGCGTCAATAATACATTTATTTATTGAATAGTTAGCTTGTAGTTGCATAGCAACGCGAGGCGGTTGTCGTTGAAATGCCGTCAGTATAATGTGCTATCGAGATGTTTTTTTCGTGCCCATAATGCTGTTCTGGACAGGTCAAAGGTCGATCGGACACTTGGACCTGTTCAAGGGGAAGACCGGCATAATGGCAGATATATTTTATGGATATTTCCCTAGGTACATTTTGAAATTACAAATGTGTGTGTTGGGGGGGGGGGGGGGCGGCTCATTAGCCTAATGGTTAAAAATATTTCATAAAAGGAACCTTTACATACATTTTGAAGTAAGAAAGGGGGGTGGGGGGGTGGCTAGTTCCTACTAATGGTAGAGGTATTGGCCAAACAAAACAAAAACTGCGACCTACAGTTGTTTCATTAAGTCCCAGACGTTCTTATGTTCATCGTGATAGTGATATGGTCTAGTTCATCTCCTCGCACCGTGTACTTCTCACTTGACTGCTCATCCTCTAGGCCTAGCCTCGAGAGATCGTGATGACAGTAAGGAGTTTAACCCCGCCTCCCCCCTACACACATACACACACAGAATCCTCCTCCGTCTACAGACCCCTCCCCGATGTCTAGAAGTATACACCCGGCAGCTTTTATTACGTGCAGTTTACCATCTCGTTTTCACTTGAGCGGCAACAACTGCAACAATAAATATCGGGAAATGTGAGCACCTCGTGTCGTTTGACTGGTTTAAACTAGACGCAATATTCTGCCACCTCTGGTTAACTAGACGCAATACACTGCCACTTCTGGTTAACTCGACGCAATACACAGCCACCTCTGGTTAACTAGACGCAATACACTGCCACCTCTGGTTAACTCGACGCAATCCACTGCCACCTCTGGTTAACTAGACGCAATACACTGCCATCTCTGGCTAACTACATAAAATAGGCTAGCCACCTCTGGTTAGCTAGACGCAATACCTTTCATTAGCCTGCTCTGACTAAATACATAACTATATACTTGGCTAACTAGACGCAATGCACTATCCACCCCTTACTTACTAGAAGCAATCTATTACTCATTATTCACGAACTAGACGCACTGGTCAATGAGGTACCATCCTGGGTGGTCAGCATGTGGTTACGTGGGTGGCAGGTTTTAGTAACACGATGGGTGGCCGGGTTTACCACCCTCTCCTTCATCAAACATCCCTGAAGCTGCTCCACCATTAAACAAGTCCTGACGAGTACGCACACGGTGGGCGAAACTGCAGTAAAACTTCACCATCTCCGACGTGATTTTATTGAACTAACGAAAACGATTTTTAAAAAAAAATCGTTTTATTTTCCCTGTGTGTGTGCCAAGAAATATTTAAGATGAATGAAGGATAGAGATCATCATCGGCGTGGCACCCGCCCAATTTTTTTTTTTTTTTTTTTTTTTTTTTAATGTAAGAGAGGAAGAGTGACTAAATTTTGACCCGAATTTCGGCTAATACCCTTTTGTTGCTGGCATGGTGCCAGAAAAGGTGAAGCGCGTGCTGATGTTGTACCTGAGGCGAGACGTCTCGAGTTGTTGCCCTTATGCACGTCGGTGAAAGGGGCGGAGTCCCTTTTTACTTTTTTTTTTTTTTACGTTGACCGAAAATAGACTCATGTCATATATCATTCAGTTTATTGTCTCATTTACTGTAATGTTTTCTTTTATATTGACAGCCTTGCTATTTAATATTTATACCACCTTTCCCCCATATAGATTCCTCTTTGCTGAACATTTGATGTTTCTTTGTTCCCTCACTCACTCACTCTCTCTCTCTATCTCTCTCTCTCTCTCTCTATGAGACACACACCTGTTCCATATCCTGCAGACGACTCCACAGCTGCGCTTCTACCTCTCCAATCCCAGACAAAACTGAACCGTAGTTCCGAATTCCTTTTTTTTTACCTCTCCTTCTCCTCCCCCCCCCCCCCTTCTTCCTCCTCCTGTCTGGTGGAATTTTCCAGGTAAACTGGTTTATCACCTGGTCCCGGTGCCTTCATCAGTTCACAAACACAAACCACTTGCAAGATCTGTGGGATGTATGTTGAGGTGTTCTTTTTTTTTTTTACCTTGTATTTCTTATATGAAAATCCCGACCTTATGACTTGGCGGGTCTAAGTAGAAACATTGGGGAGGGGGTGAGTCACTCAGACACAGAACAAGATGAGCTGTCTGGTTCAGCCTTGTGCTCGTCTAGAGTGGGGGGGGGGGGGGGGGGCATGGAGGAGGAGGTTCACATAGGCGCATACGCACGTCGTTGTAAACGGCCCTTAGGTTATTCTCTTGTCACGTTCAGCGATGGGTTTTATTTGAGAAGTGATGGTTGATATATTCTGACCGATGCGTGTTTGTAAAACCTGACCAAATGTTATTAATATAAATACTGAATGTCTTCTTTTGAAATACTAGCCGACGTCTCTCGTCTAACGGATGTTTTATTTTTCACTAATACTGCCCCCCCCCCACCTAAAAAAATACCTACTTATTTTCAAATACTGAAAGACTTTTTTCCTCAACTGAATATTTCCCCCAAATACAAACCGACTGAGTTTATTTCCAAATACTTTTGGTTGTTTACACATCGGCCGAAGGTTATGTAACATGTCTGTCGAAAGGTAAATTAAAGTTATCGAAAGGTTATATTATTTATACATCTGCCAAAGATTACTTCACACACGCAAGTGGTCGTTATCTTGCATACTTTTTTTCTACTAGTGATGGTTTTTATAGCTTGGCCGAAAGTTATTTTACACATATTTGTCAAAAGTTTGTTATATAATGCTACATATAGTAAAAAAAAAGACCGATTTTTTTTTCAACCTACATAATATACTGATTTTTTTTTTTTAAAATATTTGTCGAACGTTATTTTACACACTTTGACTGACAGTTTCGGGATGTGTCTTTGAAAACTATTTTAATCAACTTGGCGGATTGCTGTTTTACACACCTTGGCTGAATGTTCATCCAGAGAGCCTTATGGCCGTCCACCAAATTTTGACCGACGTGCCAGTTTTTAAACCCATGTCACTTGTTCAGCTGAAGCCATTAGCCCGTAGCCTACCCCGTAACCCCAGCCCGACCCCATTTTTCTACCTGTACCGCACCATTCCCCAGCCCTAGCCCCCCCCCCCCTTCACGCCTCTATCAGCTGGGGCTTCATTCATACCGGGTTACCTCGT